GTACAGCTGTACATGCAAAATCAGTACTAAAAGTGAAAATAACCAAACTGCCTTTAATGCTCAGGAAAATGTGGTAATTCCAGGTAATTTCAATGAAAAACCAGAAAATAGTTTGAGTTTTTATCTGATATATTGATTGTTGCCAAAGTTTGCTAAAGTTTGTTAAAGCAACAGCAAAGTTAGGAAAAGAAGTGCATTCTTGGATGACATACTTGAAACAATGTTAATACCTAGTTCTTATTAACCGAGCTGGAGGTCTGTATGGGAGAATCTTCACCGAGGTCACCAGTACAGACTGAATGCAGTGAGATCTGTACCAGCGACTGAGGTCAAGATTCTCCCATACAGACCGACCTAACTCGGTCAATAAGATGTTTATTATATGGCTGTGTCTTATATGCCAATTTTTATATTCTTCTAGAACAGTCTAGATGCCGGTCTAGATGGGAAAAACTAGACTGCTTTCAATATTGATTTCAGCCAATCAAATTTGTGAATTCTGTAGTTCCCAGTCCTTGTGAAACACAGCCATATAATAATTATCAATATAAATAAATGTTTAAGAGTGACCAGCCTTTAATTTCTCTTTACAATGTCACCCCTGAATGGAATGCGTAGGTCACAAGAATAAAGAAAATGATCACCAACTAAAGAAGCTCTTGATCAGTAAACAAATTCTCTTTGTCAGTGCCTTAGGAAATATGTAAAGAAAAGTATGGAGAATATGCATACTGATGTTCGAGAGTGGGGGGTTAGCACAGTGACAAGTGATCCTGAGTTTTGTGGCAACATTAGGGCCCTGCATATCTGGGTCTGTTTTGCCACAAGTTTGCTAGACACATTTCTGCATAACTTGCTCTCAATTGCCTTCATCGAAAAACTTTTAATGTGCCTGTTTTTCCATTCTCTTAGCTACTGACCATCTTTGTTTCTGGGAAACTTGCTGACTACATGGAATTCTATGAAAAGAACAAAGATTTTGTTGATTCTTGTGGTAGGTTCTTATGGATAACTTTATGCATGTCTAACATAAATGAACATAGTACTAGCCTGCATGCAGGCGGATTTTGGTGGGGCAAGTGGATATTCCCATCGGTTGTTCAGGCCACCATCTTGAACTAGAAAAACAGTGGAGAGTTGGGGTGAGGTAAAAAGTTTACCCAGCTAGTGGGAGGGAGAGAGAAAAATTTGGTAAGGGGGAGGGGGAGGGGAAAAACCCCGTCCCCCCACCCACTCCGGCATTCTCGCCCCAATTCTCCCGGTCTGCAGCAAATCCAACATGGCGGCTAAACACTCGAAAGATGAAAACCACCTAACATAGTATGCATCATCTTATTGGACAATGCAGTTTTCAAGTAGATGCTTTAACAGATTTTAGAGCCCACATTTGATCTGGTTATGTCATAATAGCATTGGAACGCATTTTTTTCCGGGCTCTATAACATGATGAAGCCTCTCGTGATGCTGGGAGAATACAAGGAAAGCTTAGAAATCATCAGCTGAAGGCGAGTGACTCGTAGGCTGTCTTCATTTCCTCCCAACTTCCCCCGGGGCTTTATCACGTTGTAATAATTATCCGGAAAAATGTGTTCCGTGCCAGAAAGTGGAAAAGCTCTTTGTTTGTTAGGTAGTGCATGCTTGCTACTCAGGCTAATGAGAATTAAAGTTTGCGGCTTTATTAGGGCTATAGATATCTGGGTTTAAAAAACAAAAGTAAAAACGTTGCAGGGTGTAATGGAGCAGGGATCGACACTAATGGTAGCCAACTAGCCACAGACTAGTAGAAATTCAGTATTAGCAAGTGTTTTTTTTTTTATTTCACCAGCCAGTTTGGCTAGTAAACAAACTGAGATTGTCATAACATCTAAGATGTCTCTAGCCACTTGGCTAGTAAGTTGAAAAGTTAGTGTCGAGCACTGCTGCGTGTGTTGATATCTGAAATTGTTACTTTGTATTGTTCAGGTTTGACACATGAGAAGAACCTTCACAAAATGCGAGTCCTAACTTTCATGTCACTTGGGGAAGCAAAGTCAGAGGTGCATTTTGACGATCTCTGCAAGGAACTTAATATTAGTGTGGATGACATTGAAGAATTTATCATAGAGGGTATGGTATTATTTCACTCTACACTGTAATGTCTGCCGAAAGTCAAGGGGTGTGTTTTTCTGTAAGGTAAAGATAAAAGGATAAGATAAGATAAAAACTTTATTCACGTGTTGGGTAAATCTGGCTTACATTTACGTAAACTAATTGTGGACACCTAACTAATAGTGAATTAAAAGTTAAGGATTATGATTAAAATCCTAAATCCTGTAAGTCCCTCATTGTAGGATGCTTAATTAACTACTGCATAGTGTACAATTTTTACAATTATCTCCCATCATTCCCATCAGGTCTAATTTTCGGATTTTCGTTTTAAACGTATTTAAAGATTCTGAGTTTTTGATTTTCGTTTCTAATCTGGGCCAGAGAAATGGACCCAGATATCGTAAACTATGTTTTCCGTACGTCACGGTATTGAATCTTAGTATAACAAAATCTGAGTTTCTTAAGCTATAACGGTTGATGTTATTGTTTTGGAATATTTCTTTAATGTATAAAGGACAAAGTTCGTTCTTTACTTTGTACATAAGAACGGCAATGTCTTGTAATCGCCTGTTTTTTAACGTGGGTAGCTTAACCAACTTTAGTAACTCGTCAACTTCGTGTATCACGTAGCTCCTTTTTCTGCCTTTAAAAGCACACACAACCCACAATTCCCCTATTCGCTCCAACGAAGGGCTAACGCTCGAAACGTCAGCTTTTGTAATCATTACGGTGGCTAATTTACCATTTCAACTTTGTTGATATATCCAAATAACTTCGTGTATTTGTTTGCTTGTATGTTTGGATTTCAAACCATACGCCTTAAGTCAACTTAAATGGTGTAAAGGCTGATAGTTTCTAAAGAAACTGTTTGGCGCTGCGTCGGTGGGGGTAACGAAATAATTTGAATATATCAACAAAGTTGAAATGGTAAATTGGCCACCGTAACGATTACAAAAGCTGACGTTTCGAGCGTAGCCCTTCGTCGGAGCGAATAGGGGAATTGTGGGTTGTGTGTGCTTTTAAACGCAGAAAAAGGAGCTACGTGATTGGTGGGAACATGGCAACGAGAAAAACACGAATTAAATGGTGTAAGCCTGGTGTGTAGTTGTCTCACTTTCTATAAATGAGAGTAAATTCGTTTACTCTCGTTTATCCGTTTATTCTCGTTTATTCGTTCATTCTGTTCTTACTTTAAATTTAAACATGCTTAACACAGAAAACATACCTTATTACGACTCAACTGACCAGGGGCCCGTTTCTCGAACGTTCCGGTGACTTATCGGGCCCGTAAATCTGTACTGTTTTCATTCAAGGTGAGAGTTTGCGGAAAGGTTTTAGAATTACACAATAAAACTTTTCTGCTAAAGAAACAAAATGGGTTGGTTAAGATGCCAGAAACTGGTTCTCTATTATTTAAATTTTGATTCTAAAATATAGCTTTAGGCCCGTTAATTTACTGGGACTTTCGAGAAACGGGCCCCAGATACCAATCGACCTAGCTGGGCACGAAGTGTCTGGTAACCCTACCGACTACAGCCCTTCTTTAGACTACTCTCAACCGAACGACCAGCTGTTACTCCTGGTTCAAACCGTTTACTGGAATATTTTTCTCCCTTTTTACATCTTTTTGATTGCTTGATGATCACGTTTTTGTACCATTAGGTTATACTAAAGTTTGCTGTTCAAATATTTAAAGTGTCCTCTCAGTTTTATAAAAGATTTTTTTTCCTTTTGGCAGCACTTCGATCGAAACTCGTTCGTACCAGGATAGACCAAGTCAACAAGAAAGTCATCATCAGGTAAAGCAATTTGCTTTTAGAGCAGTTTTCAATCAAGTGTCGAAAAACCAAAACGAAAGTAATCACAGCTGCCTTTAAAAACAACTGTTGATATCATAAATGACAAATAAGAACTCAAAGTGAAAAACAGGAAAACTGCTTGACGCGCGGGAAAACACGGGCGACCAGGTTGAGATTGGTTTTAGTATTGCATTTGATTGATTGAGAAGTGGCGCGGGTTTTCTGGACCAATCACAGAGTAAAGTAAAGCAAAGGTAATCTTGGATCACTTTCAACCATCAATTGAAAACTTCTATTCTGAATGGAAGGGAATTAGATTGTCTTTTTTTTTTTCGCCCCGTTATTCGTGCCCCTTGTTGAAGTGATAAAATTCGTCTTTCGGTTTCCAAGGTAATGTTAAACGTGGCTTTCTGAAAGCAGAGGGCAATGATCATGAAAGTCGAGAATGATAAAGGGCTGCGTTGGTTTCGCTTTACTTTGCTCCGCAACTGGTCTATAAAAAAACTCGTTTTAAACATGATTAAAATTGTTCTCTCGGACAAGTGTCTTGTCAAATCCAAAATCGCTTTCGAATTCGTTGTCCTTAGACCAGAACTGAACTAATTGCTGTAGCCAATTAGAACAAAGACAAATGTCTGAAAGACCCAATCAGAATATGAGTTAAAAATTACTTGCTCAAAGGGCGGGAAAAGACAAGTGTCTTGGCAATGTTGGTTTCAGTTTTGCATCTGTTTGGTTGAAAAAGTGTTGGGAATTGTTTTGACCCATCACAGAGTGATGTCAATCGAAACTAGTGCAATCTGGGATTACTAAAGCGCTCTATGACTTATTCTTTGAAATTATCTTTACCTTCGCAGCTCAGCAACGCATCGAACATTTGGTAACAATCAGTGGCAAGAATTAAGAAATCGCTTGGAAGAATGGCGCCAGAGTTTGCAGAGTGTTGGTACAAGTCTAAAGGCTGTTGTTCCCGCTGTAGATGGCTAATTGAACCATTAAAGATTCTCATAGAAATTTCAATATGCATTTAGCTGTTGCCCGTTCTGTTCACTGTCATGCAAATTGATCCAACTTCTTCGCGAATGCTGAAGATGGCAGGTGGTTGTTGTAATCGCCGGTCTTTTCAGATATGTAGACCCCAATTTGAATCTGCTCGTTAAGAGTGAAGAAAACGGCAAAATGTGGTGTGAAAAATAGAGGTCTTTACTGTGACGTCATATCCCCATGACAACGCGTTGGCGACCATCTTGAAGGTCAACCACGAACAGGCCGAATATAAGGGTTGAAAGCTGACATGGTGAATTTTGAGGCCATAGTTTCCCCTTGGGCACGTGAAGACTGCGTCCTGAGTCGTAAGTTCATTGTGTCAGTGGCAACCTTTCGAGCGACTCAAAGTAGCCGTCAAGTCATTGTGTTAGTGGCTACCTCGAGGCCTAAAATTACTCTGACTAAGAAGTAGTCGTTACGTCATTTTGTCAGTGGTTACCTCACGGCTTACAATTATACCGACTCAAAGGCAGCCGTTTTATCATTCTATTAGTTGCTGCCTCAAGGGCAACAATTATCATGACCCAAAAGAGGCCGGAAAGTCCGTATGTTTGTGGCTTTTAAAATTATACTCTCACCCGGACGATCGCACTTCATTTTCACATGTTACCCCCGGTTCAAACTATTTACTGTTTTAAAATTATGCTTGGTTATATGTTACACCGACAAACTTTGTGGGTTCATAGATTGCTCGTAGTTATTGACGAACGAAATTGCGAATTACTCTGTTATCTTAGATACCGATTACTGCGCAAATGATAGTGACGTTCAGGGCGAAACGAGAAAACATACACTTTTGAGAACGAAAGTGAAAGTAAAAGGGTAAAGGAAAGACAAAACCTTGCTGTGGCTCGGGGTCGTTCCCTTGACCTTTCGCTTGAGAGGAACACAATCCCTTGCTCCAAGTATGCTGACTGAATCTGATATTGACAACGTGCTTTACTGGAGCAGACCATATAGATAAAGCGTGATCTTCCCAAACCAAAAGTCTCAAAAATATAAAGTCGGTTTAATGGCCACTTTTTCAGCTTTTTGATTGATGAGAGAATGATCGCGTAGACATATATGATGTACTGCTCGTATGCAGGTGATCTTGCATTGATAATCGATGGAAATTTCGAGCAACTATTCAAATTCCAGAGGGTCTATTTTTGTCGCCTGAGATAAGAAAGAATAATGATTCTGGGTGAGGATAGCTGAAAAATTAAATGTCAGAAGGGCGAAGTTTGAAATTTGGCCATGGCCGACGTTAGCGAGAAACCCACAGCAACAGATGCCATCAAAAACGATGAAAGTCAAGTCGATCCGACCTCGCCGACAATCGAGGTAAGTGATGTTTTGGTAGTAATTGACAAATTCGTCGGAGATATTGGGGTATCCCTTTTAGAGGAATTAGTTGAATTTTGTGAATAACTGCTTAGTTTTTTCTTTGTGTCGTCCATGCATTTGAGTTTTTGGTCCTGAATGTTTTCAGTTTGATCGTCAATTTTCGAGGTCGAAATACAACGGGTGAGAGGTTCAAACTCGTAAACATTGCTTATATAGTTCGCTGTCGCATATATAGTCGTCGCATAGTCCTTGCATATATTCTCGAATAAAAAAACAATCAGTTTGTCATCGATCGTTATTTTTCAGTCACTGTGCGAGTGCAGATAAACAGAATTAAGATCACAATTTTTAGTTCGAAACTGACGCGCGTTTTGAACTGAAATTTTGGCAAATTGTCAGCTGAATTCGGCTTGCACTTTTACCCCTGCAAAACGTTTGGTTTGACCGTAGCCTTGGCATGCTAAAGAGCTCTTTAAGAAAAACATGTCGGGCGGAATTATTTCCTTCTCTAAACATAGAAGAGATTTTCGTTTAACGGGTATTTGTACGTACTCATTTCTTGATCAAAGCCGTTACAGTCCTAACATCGCCATTGTTTTCCTCACTGCAAACATAATGAAGTACGAGGCAGTGCAGAATTTCTTGCCCATAGTTGTTGTTTACTTTTTACTTGGCTGGATGTAGCTAGTTCGTACCTTTTGCTTCCCGTTGCGAGTCCACGTGACTGTATTCCTTTACCTTAAAACATCATAGGCCCAAAGTAAGGCAAAAACGCAGATGGGTGGTGAAAATGCCGATAGCTATCACTTCTTCTCTTACTCTTAAATTGTTACCTCCTTTCCATATTGATCAAAACACCAACAGACAACAATATAAACATACAAATTTATTCCCTTGTCTAATTATTTGTAAGAACTAATATTATAGTAACTGTAACCATTCGGAATCATTTCTGTTTGAGCTGATAACTGAAACTTGAACCATCTTGCACAGATAAACCCTTATCTTGTATTGAGTGTAGCCTTTGTCTCATGAAAGTATGGAGCTATTAGGTTTGTTTTAAACTAATTTGTTTTAATTTTGCTACACATCATTTCCTTTATTCTTGTGAGCTTTATGTGATTTAGGGGCAGGGGCGGAGAATTGTCCGAGGGCATGCTCCCCCAGAAAATTAGGTCTTTAGAAACATGATTTCCAGTGTTCTGAGGGAAAATTTAGGGAGTTCGACCAAACCACCCAAACCTCCCCTGGATCCACCCCAGAGGGGTGATAATAGTAAAGAGAAATTAGATGTTGGTCACTTTTAACATTAGTTAACATTATGCTTTCTCTTTGATCTTAGATCTCCCAGCACAGTGACAAGGTTATTAAACACAGAGTACGTGTACAGAAGAAAAATGGCAGATATTATTTCCAGCATCCCTATGCAAGACTGTTTGTTTCCTACTTTGTGATTTTTTGCAACTTTTTAATATATGCTGAGGATCCTGTATCACATAGCAGAGCAAATTGTACCATTCCTGTTGTTGGGAATGACTTTGCTTTTGTCACATACAGGTACAGAACAGAAATTGTTTCCTGTCCAGCATTTGTCTTTGTTACCAAAATATTGTTCATATCTGGCCATTGCAATTTCTTCATCTTTGTGTAGGGACCAAGAATTTATTTAGCCTATACATAGCATCTGTAAGTTAAAGCTATACAAATAACTTATTAGAAATATACAAATATCTTTTCTAAGGTTTGTTAAAGTGCACAAGTTGTGAACATCCATAGAGTCTTTGGAATTGCAGTGTAGTGTTGTTGTGGAGAGTCAGAAAGCTTACCAAATGCATGTAATAGTGAGTTCAGATGTTGAACAACATTGCTGTAGCATGGCCCCAATATTGGAACTATGAGTGTTAGACCTACATTGATCTACATGTGGATGCTGAAAATTTTAATTAATAATAATAATTCAGATGTTTTTGTCACTAAACAAATATAGATACTTATTCTGCAATAACTCAAAATCTAATGGCTGGGCTTCCTGAATCAACTCTTCTTTATTTGACTTCCAGTCAATACAACTTGCACCTTAGGGATAGTCCACCTTAGGGAGGTGAGGGAAGGGAAGGTGAGAGGAGGGGGGAGGTGAGGGAAAGGTGAGGGGAGGGGAGAGTAAGAGAGGTGAGAGGAGGGGGGAGGTGAGGAGAAGGTGAGGGGAGGGGGAGGTGAGGGGATGGTGAGGGGAGGAGGAGGGGAGGGGAGGGGAAAGTTGGTGGTGTGGGAAAATTTTGTAACCAATGCTTAAAATTGTTCAATTTTCCTGTTTAGGAACAATAATATGAAAGATGTGCCTTTTTAAAGAGGCCTCCTCTTTATAAAAAAAATTCCATTCCTTGCTATGGATTACTGTGGTGTGACATTGCGCACAGTATTTGTACTTGTTTATTAAATACCAGTGTTCAGAAACTGTAGTCAATACACTGATGTCAAGTTTGCTCCATTAAACAGAATTAGTGAGGGGACAGTCATATGAAAAGTTTTTGACTTAAAATGGCTTTCTTCTAGAAACCTGTAGAGGGAACATTTAGAATTTTGGATGGTACAATCTGTATGCTGTACTTTACTATCAATGATGATAGTTAACTTGATTGTACCTATACATTTAGGTACCCTCCTGGGGCGTGGTCTCTTCTCAAGGTATTTCTGTGGCTTTTAGCCATTGTGGTTGGATTGCTGGTGGGCAATTTCTTTTTCCATAAAGTGGTCTTCAATAGATGGATGAAGCTTTCCATGTTCAAATGTGACAGTGGCTCATGGATGGTGATGTTCTTGACAACTCTAGTCTCACTGTTTATATTCTCCCTCATCTACAATGGATTCATCAGCATTGGGGGTGACAAGCTCTCCTTGTATAAGATAACTACATACCTAGGATTGCAGAATGACACCTTTATGAAGGCAGCTGGGCTAGGCACATGGATGGGAGATTTTGTCACAGCATGGATGGTAACTGACATGATGCTTCAGGTAAAACCAGTGTTAAGGAAAACCTCTCACATTCCGATTCAGAAAAATCCGTCCTTAGTAAGGGCTTAAATTTTGTTCCCATTTCTAAAACAACAGACGAATTCTCTATTAAACAAGATGTAGTACGGTGGCCAATTTACCATTTCAACTTTGTTGATATATCTATATTATGGAACATTGGACTAGTTTAATATTCATGAAACTATGTTTGTAAGAGTGGACTAGTTTAACATACACGAAACTGTTTGTAAGAGTGAGAGACACAGGGGCTTAACTCTTTAATTCCCCTGAGTGACCAAGACAGAATTTCTGATTACAATGTCACCATAATATCAAGCAGACAAGTAATGAGACTAAAGAAACATATCAATCAAGGCACTCTTAGTTGATCCAATACCAAACCCTCTGAACTAACATCATGAGAATTGTATAGCAGACAGTAAGGAGAATTTCTAATGAGATCATTAGAGTTTAACCTTTACTCTCACAGTGCCTCTCTCCATCCAGGAGTATAGATGGATACTGGTGAGGGGGGGCTGATGAGATGCTAGGGGGGTACCCTTGCAATGGACTGGCATCCCATCAGGGGAGGAGTAGTGCTACTTCAAGTGTCTTCATGCTAAGGAAACCAGAATAAGGTCCGACTGGGTCAGGGCCACTTGGCTTGAGTACAGACTTCACCTACCTTTTACCTGTTCATGAAGGAGTAAATTTTTCAATTGAGTTCTCAGTTGCTTCTCGTCATGTGTCTCTTTGTTCTGATTGACCATTGCATTTTCTTTGGTTTTGGTTTTATAGCACTCAGTTGAAATGTACTCCAAAGAGACCACCAGTCTGACTTCTCAGTGATGTGAATAAATGACAAAAAATGAAATTTATTCCATTTAATTTAGAAATTATGATCAGATTCCCTCATGGGAAAGAACCCCCCTTAATAGTACCCCAGCTCCCAAACTGTGGCTTTGTAACACAGTTGACCGTTGCACCCAACTAGTATCTGGTAGGTGTGGGTTTAAATCCCATCAAAGCTTTTTTTTTTTTTTTTTTCTGGCTTCTTTTTCACTATTGCTTAAATTGCAGCTCGCCTGCAAGGATTACTTCAAATGACAGAATATTGAAGGAGGTTTTTATCTGTTTTTTGTTTTTGTTTTAAGGACAAGTTGTACCCAGACTGGAACAAACGTTTGAGGAAGATTTGGAGAACCGGATACACTCGAATCTATTTGTTCTGGATTGTGCTTGTTGTTGCTACGGCAATTGTCGCCTCTGGAATAATAAGTGACTTTGTTAGGTGGGATACCCTCAACAGAGATTTCGTATCCACTAATGAGCTATCTCGAGCCTTTCTAGCTTCTTTCATCCTTGTTATGGACCTGCTTATTGTTATGCAGGTGAGATATGCCACTGAAAAATCCACAGATACATTACAGAAATTACTTGCCAGGGAAATGATTGCTCTTGTTAGTGGACCTAGTCAGCATGTACAGTAGAACAAATATTTTTAAATATGGCTTTTTTATCCGTGGTGTGAATGAATGGAACAGTCTTCCCAATAATATA